CACACACACACACACACTCACTCACACACACAAACTCTCACACACTCTCACACACTCACACACACACACTCTCTCTCACACACACTCACACCGAGCAGCGCAGCGTGTGAGCCGACTACAGCCCAGGTTTCAGATTTCCCCACACAGCTGTGGTTTCAGGACTTGGCTCAGGCTCATGTTTGCAAATGTGGCTCTGTGACAGATCAGTACTTTTTGTGTCTGCTGTGGCAGTTTTTGCTACTGAAGGCTTGTGAAATGGGTCACTGGTGCTGACCCATACTGCCTCTGTAGAGCTCGAGTTGTCTCTTTGAGGTAGATGTGGAGGCTTTATGTAGAGTTTGGCCTGTCCGGTCACTTGGCCTCTCTGGCACGCATTTGCCATAGGCTTAGCACAGCTGTTCCTGCTTTCAGTGTCATGCCTGGCCCCAAAGGCTACTGCTCTCTAGCTTGTCCCCACAAAGAGAGGAGTCATGGGTAAAAACACTTGTGCAATCTCTTAAGTGGCTGTTTTCAAGTGAAAGAAGCCAGACTGAAAAGGCTCACGCTGTTATCCCTGCCTTTGTGGGATATTCTAGAAAACACACCACCATGGGAACAGAAGCAAAGGGCAGAGGTTGCAGGGGGACAAAAGTGGGGTGGTGGGCACAGTTTTAGGGCAGTGAAACTACCGGGGCCCTCCTGGTGGATAGATAGTGCTGCTTGCACCATCGAGGTTTCCGTAATAGGAACCACAGGCTTGAGTGGCAGTCCCCTGTCAGTACCGGCCAAGCAGGTGCCACAGCTCTGCTGTGTGCGCCGTGGCTGTGCATGCCATACGGGATCTGAGGAGGCCGTGGAAAGAAGGGTGTTCCCATGCACGCTCTGCAGGATGGCATCATGAGTGCTCTCGAGGAGTCTGGAGTCAGCCTGTTTGCCCATGGCTGACTCTTGAGAGCGCGCTGGGTGACAAAGGGTGTCCTCTGAGGAGCGTGTCTGATTCTACTCTGCAGGTCCAGGATGGCAAATGTACACATAGGAAGTAGGTTAGGGTGGTGCCTAGGTCCTCGTCCTAGAGACTGAGCGATAATGACCAAGGGAAGCAGGGTTTCTTCCAGGAGTAGCAGGACTGAATTGATTGTGTTAACTGGCATACAATGCAGCCTATGAAAATATTAAGCCCCTGCATTGTGGGACGTGAATTGTCAGTTTACATGAGCTCTGCTTCAGCACGCCTGGCGTTGGTTGTCCCCTGCAGTTATAGATGGGCGTTTGTCCCGGAAGTGGACACTGAGCACCCCACCTTCCTGTCGGAGCTAGAAGAGAACCACCAAGAGTGCAGACCCCACACTGTCCGGATCCTAGAACTTCTAAGATCAAAATACGGGGTAAGTGCTTTCCTTTTAAAAACAGCACTCATAGGGCCAGAAATGCCACTCAGCTGGAGAATGCTTGCCTGGCACGCACAGTGAGTGCCCTGGGTTCAGTCCACCGCACTGTGTAAACCAAGCGGAGTGGTGTACACCAGTAATCCTAGCACTTGGGAAGTAAAGGTAGAAGGACCAGGAGGAGAGTCATCCTTGGCACATAGTGAGTTCAAGGCCAGCCTGGGCTAGATTAGACCCTGTCTCAAAAAAAAAACAAGAAAGAAAGAAAGAAAGAAAGAAAGAAAGAAAGAAAGAAAGAAAGAAAGAAAGAAAGAAAGAAAGAAAGAAAGAAAGAAAGAAAGAAAGGAAAGAAAGAAAGAGAAAGATGGAGGCAAAGGTGTGTAGACTCAGTGGCAAAGCCCCTAATGTCCCCTGATTTCTAAGGACTCAAAGCCTCTCCTCTTAGCTTGGGATGGTTATAAGTTCTACCCTTGTTTTCTTGCTGTAAGTAAAGTTCCCCAGGTAATGGTGATGTAGAAGCTGGTTCTCTTCCCAAGCTGCCCTATGATTTTGAGTCTAAGACAACGAGGAGCCTGGAGCTGGACTGGGCTTATGATGGAACCCCAACAAAAAGGATTAAAGACCTAGAATGTGAGGCTCGGCCTCTATTCTTAGCGCTGGCCATGAGCTGACAGCCCCTGCACAGGTGTGCATGTGCAGGCCTCTCAGTGCTAGCCAAGGTCACCCTGGCTTTGGGTCTCTCTGCAGGAAACTGGCAGCTCTGATGAGATCACCAGGGAGAGCGAGTTCCCTCTTCTGCGCCAACATTCCGTTTCTAGCATCAGGCAGTTGATACCGTTCTTCAAGACATTAAACTGTGCTTTCAAGACCCAAAGCCACCTGCCCTCTGATGCTCCAGGAACCTCAGTGCCGGAGCTCCCTGTGGTCGACAGTCCGAGGGTCCTGCGGCAGCTGGAGGAGTGCGTGGAGCATGACTTCCTCGAGTATCCAGAGTGTTAGCACCCGAGGAGGGCTTCCTCGTTGGTCTTTCTCCCCATCCCTGAAGGAGGACGACAGGGATGTCCTGTGGAGAAGATGGGGACTGGGCAATTTGAACCAAGTCTACCACAGTCCTGAATGTCCATACAGGTATTTTCTGTTCAGCAGCCAAACAGGCCTCCTTTAAATGCCTTGTAATATACGTCAATCTCAGTTTGTGTTTCTTCTTCAATGTATGTAATGGAAATAAAATTAATATATCATATAAGCACACACAACTGTCATGTGAGAAGAATTAAGTACTTTTATCAAGTCTGTTCTCCGCTGTTTATCTAAAACTTTTAGCAAGTTGTTAGACTGACCAGGTGCTCAGCAGGTAAAAGCCTGGAACCACAGAGTGACCTACAAGAGAATGGATTCCCCACAAACTGTCCTCTGACCTCCACACATGTACACACAAGGTAAATAAAGTGTAGTAAAAGATTAATAAAATTGGGGGTCTGACAGGATGGTTTTGTAAGTATAGGAGTCTGTTGCCAAGCCTAATGACCCAAGTTCAGGTCTAGAATGTACACTGTAGAAGGAAAGATACACTTCCTGAAAAGTTATCCTCTGACCTACACACACACACACACACACACACACACACACACACACACACACACACACAATTTAGCAGGGTTAAAAATGGTTTTTTAATGGTTATCAAAAGTATACTTTTCACATTTCACACATGTGGCCATTAAAGCACTTACTTTGGTATTGCAGTTTGAAACTTAACAAAAAAACAGTGACCTAGGCCTTCTGCATATATGTTACAGCTGTGTAACTTGGTGCTCTTGTGGGACTCCTAACAGTGGGAGCAGGGCTGTCTCTGATTCTTGCCTGCTTTTGGAACCCTTTCCTCCTACTGGATTGCCTCACCCAGCCTTAACAGAAGAGGGGGAGCCTAGTCTCACTGCAACTTGATATGCCATGGCTGGCTGGGACCCAGGGGAGTCCCATATGTATCTGAAGAGACACAGAAAAGAAAGAGTGGATAGAGGGAGGGGGCAGGGCTTTGGTAGGGATATAAAAACAAAACACAAAGATGAAAACAATAGTAGCCCAGGGTTGGGGATACAGCTGTCTGTGTTGGTAGATTACGATGTAATTGGAGCACTCATGAGGGGAAGCATGAGAACCAGAGGGTCTTCATTCTTGGTTACATAGCAAATTCAAGGCCAGCTTGCACATGAAACCCACTCTCAACAGCAACACTAGCCCATCGGAGGGAGCACTTAAGCAGATCTCTGGGCATGTTGCAGTCTTGTCCACTAAAATCACACTTGCACCGTCCAACTGCATAAGAAGTGTGTGGTTTTCAGACTCCAATGGTTGTGACCCTAGTTAGTGCCACCGCCGCCGCCGGTACTCAAGTCTCACTGGCGGCTTGGAGCAGTCAGGACCCCTGACTCTCTGGGCTCTTCCCTTTGCTTTCTCCTCCCTCAGATCTCCTTACGGTTCCACTGACACAGCTGTCCCTTTTGGCTTGGTGGCATCGGATCTCACTCTCCCAACCCTGGTTGTCTTCTGCCAGCTACTCTACTTACATCCTGGCTGGGAGCCACGTCTAACTCTGCCAGTGAGTGCCATGTGCTTTCCTCACCTGCCTGCTTGGTGACACTTTTTAGGCAAGAGCACTGTGTGTTCTATCTCCAGGCCTTGTGAGGCACGCAGTCCTCCTAGACAGCTTGGAGCCTGTGCCTACTGTACACTGGGAGTTCTGAATTTGATAACTACTGCTCTTCTCTGTGTGTGTGTCCTGTTTTTGAAGTGAGGTTTTATTTTCTTATTAGTTTTAATTCTGAGTAAGTGTGTGTGTGTGTATGTGTGTGTGTGTGTGTGTCTGTGTGTCTGTGTGTCTGTGTGTGTGTCTGTGTCTGTCTGTCTGTAGGTTAGAGGTCACTTATGGAAGTCCCCTTTATCATGTAGGTTCTTGGTATTGAACTCTGGATGTCAGGCGTGGCAGCAAGCACTTTTACCCACTGAGCCATCTTAGCCCTCTCGTAGCATTTTACTCTTTGTACAGTAGAAAAGCAATTTATGTCCTTGGTCTCATCATAGCATGAGGTGCTCATAGGACCTAGTCTGCTTAAATAAGGGCTGAAAATTATATTTTAAAACAAATATCTGTTGGAAATTACATGGGAATTGTGCTCAAGGGAATATACTTAAAGGAAAAGCATTTGTAGAGTTGGGTCACTAAAGTCTCTCAGTGTAACCTTGTAAGTTTTGTGACTCACACTGGGAGATGCAAAGCAATTCGCCAAAGTATGAGGAAATAGCCTCACCTTGCCTGATAAACAGTGCCGTACCACAGTCAAAACATACAACCAAAGCGGGTGTGCGGTTCGTGCTTATAATCACGGCACACAAGAGTCTACAGCAGGAGTATCATTACCAGCCTGTGCATGTCACGAGTTTCAGACTCAAAGGAAAATGGGGAAAACAAACAAACCTGAAGACTAACCCTTAAATTACCCCCCCCACTTGTGAGGCTGAGGCAGTGTGAAAACCTCAGCAGTTAAGAGCACTGGCTGCTTGTGATGGTTTGAAAGAAAATGCCCCCCAAAAGGAGTGGCACTATTAGGCATGGAAGTGGCCTTATTAGAGGAAGTGTGGTCCCCACACAGGGACGTGCTATTGTAAGACCCCCGGAAAGCTCAGGCCTCCAGGATCTCAGCCCAGGACCTCGGTCACCCCAATTACCAGGCGGTAAAAGCTTGATGCAAACTGCACGAGGCTTTATTGTTGTTTAATGAGCTCACCTCTGTCATGGCCCACGATGTCTCAGCCTTAGTCCATGAGGTTCTACCTGAGTGGGGGGGTGTGGACCTGGAAGCTCCGAGCAACCCAACGGCGATAAAGACCAAACACAGGCATCTTACCATCTTCAGAGAGCTCTCAGTTCCATGTTGTGGAACTAGAGTCATTTCTTTATTAGCCATCTTTTCTGGTGTTTCTTAACCATCCTGCCAATACCACGAGGGAATCATCCTCTTTCTTTGTTCCCGTGCTGCTCTCACCTCTCGCCTCTCTTCCTAACCTTCTATATTCACAAGTTATTCACACCCCTCTCTCCTCCGCCCAGGTGAGGGCCTATTCAGATGCTTAGGCACATACAGATGCAAATAAGAGGCATATTACCCTCAGGCCATGGTAAACATTGGTAGCTTTATTGACATTAACAATCCAATAGTGGGCCGGAGCTTTCCTGTGCTCCATGTTTAGTGAGACACAAGGCTGAATCTCAAAATATTCCATAGCGGAAATACTTTGGTCCCCCAGAAACCCCATGTTAGCTCGGGTCTTCCACCCACCCACCATGGAGGATGGCTAGGAAAGACAGCTCGAAGCTCTGCATAGAGATCTTATAGGGCAGCGTAAGGGGAGTGTCTAGGGGTACACACAGGTTCAGGATTGGTGTGCCTCCAGGCTTGGAGGGCTTGCCCTGTGTTGATTGGTCAACTGGTTGTTATGGCCCATAGGCCCTCCCAGGGTGGTTGCTATGCTCTGCATCATTGCTGTGTGCTTGTCCGCAAAGCACACCCAGAGCCGTAAAGCATAGCGCCACCAGCTAACTTATGATTGGTTCCTTGCCATGAGGCAGGCATCTGACCTTACTGACTAAGACAAGGTCAGACAAGCACGTGTTCGGCTGTTACAGCTGCTGAAATGGGGAACTGGTCCCTTCACTATATCACCAGTCATGCATTACAGCATTCGTGAGGACTCCGCGCATGCGTGGAACCTCAATGCGCTTGTGCAGTCTTCCCTTTAAAAGTTCCAATGTCCCTGCTTCTGTGCCTCTTCTTCGCTCTCTCTCTGCCCCTCTTTCTCTCGAAACTGGCCATGGCCGTCAGCCATTAACTCTGTTTGTCTTCTCTCTTACTCTGTCTACTCTGCCAGGCCTATAATAAACTGGTTAATGCATTCTCTTAGTCTCATGTCTCATCTTGTGCCTCTCCTTTCTTTTTAATTTAAGCAGAAACCTAACACTGTACACATGTGATGCACAGATATACATGGAGGCGAAACACTCATACACATAAAAAGAAAAAGAAAAACCTGGGCTCAGTGAGACAGCTCAACTGGTAGAGTTACTCACACACATATAGGTATATACATAGACACATTTACACATGCAATAAATATGAAAAAAGGGAAAAACAAAAATCAATACCTTCTTTATATCATCAGTTTCTACTAGACCATGAATGTCTGTATGGAGGTTTACAAACTTAACACTGTGCTGGACACTTTTATGTCTATTTGACACAATCTGAAGTCATCTGAGAGAAGGGAATGCCTCCAAGAGATCCAGCTGCAGAGCATTTTCTTAATTAGTGATTGATGGTGGAAGACCAGGCCCATGGTGGGTGGGGCCATCCTGGGCTGGTGGTCCTGGTTTCTAGAAGAAAGCACACTGAATGGGTTTCTGCACCACACACCTGAAGTCAACTGCTCTGGCTCCCTTCCTCCCAGAAAGAGTGAAAGTGACCCAGAGTCTCTGCACTGTGGCAATCAGTGTGTTGGTAGAGGTGGTGCCTGCAAAGGGTGGCAGGAACTGACAACACACACTTGGTGTTCTAACAGCACAGAGTTCAGGAGACAAAGAACTTGACGGGTGTGGGTTGAGCAAAGGCCGTGTGTACAGCATGAAATGGCCCCTCCTACAGGGACCGGGCAGGGTGCCCAGCACCTCACACGCATAGTTTCATTTCTTCTTTCCCTGTTAATATTCCCAAGGCAGGGCCAGGAATCGAAACCAAAGTCCCTCAGACCCTACTGGAGCTCTGCACTGTCAGCCCTGCCTTTGAGAAAGAGGAACAGGAAGGAGGCAGCAGCCTCAGTGAGAACCTGTTAGTAAGTAATGGTTTCTTGAGCTACCCTTCCCAGCCACAACTTCCTGGAACAACCCGTCCTGGGACCACAACACAGAGGGCTTCCCAAGGCGAGGCAGGAAATGAAAGGGAACAGGAAGAAGCCTTTCGGTTGCCTTCCCTGCTGAGTGTCCAGAAATTTCAACACCACTGGTAAAGACAATCATCTGCAGTTATAAGTGTTCCTTAAAGACAACTCAAACAGCAAAGGAAGACTGTTAGTCACAGACCTGAGGACAAATGGCTGAGATGCCTGCCCAACATATCAGCACCCCTTAGCCCCTACAGGGGTCCTATTGGCTTGCATGCCACACCCACACCCCAAACTTCTCCAGCCCAGACGGTTGAGCTGC